CCACCAGCCTCCAAATAAAAAACCGGCCTTAGTGTCCAAATTGTAAATCTGGAACCTAGTGTCAAAATTCCAAAATATAAGCCACAAGTGTCCAAAATTCAAGATCGGACACTAGTGTCCAAAATCCAAAATCGGACACTAATGTCCAAAATCCAAAATCAGCCATTAGTGTCAAAAATCTAAAATCCAAAATTGGCGACTACTGTCAAATATCCAAAATCGGCCACTAGTCTCCAAAATCGAAAATCGGTCACTAGGGTCTAATCTTCAAAATCGGCCATCAGGGTCCAAAATCCAAAATAGGCCGCTAATGTCTAAAATCCAAAATTGGCCATTAGTGTCCAAAATCCAAAATCGGCCACTAGGGTCCAAAATCGGCCACTAGTGAGGCCAATACTAAGCCAAATTTGGACTATGTAGACAAAAACAATTTAATAATAGCTAGGGTCTAATCTTCAAAATCGGCCATTAGGGTCCAAAATCCAAAATCGGCCACTGGGGTCCAAAATTCAAAATCCAAAATCGGACACTGGGGTCCAAAATCCAAAATCGGTCAATAGGGTCCAAAGTCGGCCACTAGTGAGGCCACTACTAAGCCAAATTTGGAGTATGTAGATAAAAATAATTTTATAAAAAACAGCAAGGGATTTGCTGTGAGGCTAATTTGGTCTTTGAATAATAACAATTTTGACCAGGTTTCCGGCTTGAATGTTTGGAATTGAAAACCGAAAAATCGAACTCGCCCGCTTTAAAAGAAAAAGAAAAATAGTCCAAGTAAAAATATAAGGCATTGATTTTGTAGGCTAAGAATGGTGAAAAAAAAAACGTTCAAACTTTGGCTAATATTACCTAAAAAGTTGCCAAATTTTATGACTTAGTCATCAATTCCTGAATTTCCTTGGAAGAACGACAGCTACTTACCATCATGCGAGTACTTAAGAGGGATTTTCGAGGGCCTTAAGCTTAATATCACACCTTAGAAAAAAAATACAGGTTTTTAGATTTAACCTTAATATTTAATAAGTAAATCTGAAAAGTGTCAGGCAACGCCTTTAGGGGGGTTTTAAAAAATCTATGAAATCCATTAATTTTTTAACGACAAAATCTTACAAATTTTTTTAGAACAACTAAGTTATCGAAAAGTTTTCTCTAAAAAGTATTTCAGGCTTCTAGCCAATATTGAAAATCTAAAAGCTATTTTTCAATTTTGATACTGATGTTGATTTAGATATTTCATTTTCTTATCTCGATTAAATAGGTACACGAAAGTCAATTCAGTCCTTGATTTGAATGTTTGATGAAGCTACAAAGACACTGGCGTAATCATAATCTTTGGCGAAGAATAGAAAAATTGAGATCACGTTTTTCCACTGCGGGGGTGTCTCGTCTTATTTCTACCTAAGACTTTTAAAATCAGACGTATATTTTCAACAATTTTTAGTTAGAATCCCTCACATCTCCATAAGCCGGCAAATATATTCTAGGGATTATTTTGGTCGAATGTTTTGTTACGGAAATAATGGCGCCAAAATATTCAAGGTCTCCGTAAGCGACGTATTAGGGCAGTCATGCATGAATTATTGATTGACAGCTACGTATAACAGAACCCCGTGTGTGGTTACTGTTGATCGGAAGTTCGATATGGCGACTAGTTGAGTTTGTTCTAGCCTGATAGGGCCTTCGGGGCTTTAACCGCTAAGCGTTTTAAAGTACGATGGCGAAGTGGGATTCTAAAAACTTAGAAATTCGTAGCAAATCTGTGGAGCAAACTCTGGTGCCCCTTGTGACTCAGGTAATAATTTTTCTCGGCGCTATTTCATCCATGACGGCAGCAGCGGTGTTTCAGCGGGGACTCAAGCTTTTTGTAAACGACAGAAATTCTACATGTATTTGATCTGTGCGGTTGTTTATTCTGATCTCAACGTAAAGTAACTCCTCTGACTTTCATGTTCCACTTGTCACCTATAGTGTTGTGTTTATGTTCTAAAATTCGCAGATAACTACGCTTGTTAACCACAAAGACCATGGTCGGCGATCGGAGAGAGCTTTGAAGGCGATTCATGAGATTGGACGAGTTGTAGCAATTGCTGTCGATCGCTTTGTTAGTGTTGGCGAACAGATCGCATCAGAAAATGAAGACGTTGCTGAAGAAATGCGTACAGCATGCGAAGAAGCCAAGAAATCTGGACAAACAATCTTTAATCTGACAAGTTTTACGGGCGATTCTATTAACGGAGATGGCGTACCGAATGGAACAGATAAAACTAGTATGGTTCGTGCAGCACGATCATTATTATCTGCTGTAACAAGAGTATTAATAATTGCAGATTCTGTTGTTGTGAAGAGACTGCTGGCAGCAGTTAAAAAGGTACGGGTTGCGAAATATTTGTTTTCGGGAAGTCAGCTTTGTGATAGTTTTGTCTAGCTGTCTCGGCTTCAGTTTGAAGCGATTAATTGGAGATCTTTGTTCAAACTTTGTTTATTCTGTTCCTTAGTTCTTCTTTCAGAAGTGTGCAAACAAAAAGAATTTAAGAAATAACAGTTGATTTCTCCAATTAGAGAAGAATTCGGAAGGTTTTTGCGTGACATTATTTTGAATGAATGTCTTACCGCAAGTTCATGATGAAAAGGAATGATTTCTGCTAAACGCTTTTCCGTCATTCGACTACGTATTTGGTCTGTTTTAGAATCTTTCAGCGGCAAGGTCACTTCAACATTTTCGAACAGAATTAACCTCATTTTCTCAAGGTGGAAAAGTTTATTTACAGTTTCTTTTTTTTAAATTTTGCCTTCCGTCTGGGAATTAATATTGCATGTTGAAAACCTGCTGAAAGTCAAAAAGCCGAAATTATTCGATATGTTTGAGAATGAATGATCGGAACGCAAAGCGGTTGTTCAAGTATTCGTTGATTGATTACAAGTTATTGATTACTCACCCATTCTCGCGATTACACCTATTAACATTTCCCACATAATTTCCTCGCGCCTCAATTGAAACTCGACACCACAAAAAAATTTGTCATTGTTCTTAACTGGCCGTCCAATTTCTGATAACTGAGTTGGAAAAAATGTGAGATTCAAACACTCTACAAACCCCCTAAAGCAGTGTATAGTTTTCCCACAAATACCCCAATCAATTGTCTGTAAACAAAATACAACTAACCCTTGAAAACTGCAAAGTTTGTCGACTTTATTTTAGTTCATCCGCTTTGTAAGATCAATTTGTGAAACAGGTCTTTTCTTCACGTCTGTTGATATCGTTTAGCAAGATTGCTAAAAAAACGAACTAAGGTGTTTTTTGGCTTCATCCACGGTTGGAAAGTTGTATATATTATCATACACTTCATTTTGTCAAGTGACCTTATCAATGGCTTCATTGACTTGATGTTAATTACCCAGTTAGGCTGGTCAAAGAAAATTGTATTTTTTTTTTTTTAGAAATGAATGATCGCCATGTTGTTCCGCTAATTATTTTTCGACCAACTCTGTGGTTTTGTTAGTCATCCTGTTTAAACCTGAATGGTTTATATAATTGTATAGGCACCCTACATTAGTGAATACTGAAATGAACCCTTGTCTGCAGTAAATATTTCTTTTTAATTGGATAGCTTCATAATGATTGATCAAATCTTAGAGTTTCCTCTCTTTGGTTCTTTCGCTAGGTTAGAAAGTTGAAGTTTTAATTTAGACTTACATATACATTCTTACTGTGGTGAAAAATAATCTTATTTGTTAAACATGATTCGTGAGTTCACAGCACACCAACAATAATGAGTTATAAGAGTTATTTTTTAATATGATAAGTTAAAATTTTGTATGCAGTTTGATCAGTTCTTACTTATGATCCGTTAAAAGACAGATACATAGATGAGATCACCATGCACAATATTTTGCTTTTTTATCTTATAAAACAAACATAGTCCAGGTTTTTTTAGGTCTGTACTACATTATTGGATCATGGAAGACATCAGAATGTTGTTAGAGTATCTGTGACACACATGGTTATGCCTTGTTTACCACTTTTTTGTTCTTACCACGTTTTGACCTCATCTGTGATCTGTTACTGAACAGATGCACAACAACATGGTATCTGTTTGTCAACTAGACAAGAGAATTATTGTGTAACAGGGTAATAGTAAACTTGAAAATAAAGGGGAGGTTGACCTTCCATTTTCAGGTTGATGACAGGCTTAAACAGCTGGAAACTGTGAACACTTTTACAGATTTTGTGCAGGCATTTAGTCAGTTTGGATCTGATATGGTTGAACTTGCTCACTTGTCAGGTGACAGACAAAATGTAAGTTGAAAATAATCTGCATTTATATATACATTATGACTCAGCAAGGGTTTGAATCCAAATCTACAGTCTCCCTTGCTTGTAATGAGGCATTAAGCCTCTCCTTGAGTGAACCTCTCCTAAGGAGTCAGTTCCTGTTGTAATCACTTCAGTCTGTGAGTGCTTCCTGTCTGCGATCACTTCCTGTAAGTGAGCACTTCCTGCCAATGATTACCTTTTCTCGATGACCTTAAGTTTGCACAGAAGTTACTGAACCTTTAAGTCATTTTGGGCCAGTGTTTTTGATGGAAATTTTCTTTCGTTTGCAATCCTCTGAAATTGAAATTCATGGCATCTTTTTATGGCAAGTAAAACAAAAAATCCCTATCTATGTTAATGTAGCCATCTGCGTTTGGTATTTTACTATATTAAGTTTTATTTTTTTGTAATTGAACACCCAGGATTTAAAAGATGATACTTTGAAAGCTGAAATGGGAGCTGCCCGGTCTATTTTGGAGAAGTCCACAATGATGCTGTTGACAACATCTAAGGTAAACCCTTAACCACCAAACACCTCCCACAATGGCTCTGTCAAGTAGTGTTATATTAGTATAATAGTAACTATTAGTAAAAGCTTAATTGGATTATATGATCATAGTTTTGTTTTTTATCATGATTAGACGTGTCTGAGGCATCCAGACTCCAGATCTGCCAAAGGCAACAGAGAAGGTGTTTTCAAGAAGATGAGAGAAGCCATGGCAACAATCACGTCAGTGGTCCAAGATGAACCTAAGGAGGAAGAAGGCGAAAAAGGATGTTTGGCAATGGATTTAGGACATTTTGAAGTGAGTTTCAGGGTACAGAGTACTCTTCAATAAACGTGATTCTAGCAAAATGGAGAATGCTTGCCGTGTATAAATCCAGTACATCACCAAACTTGACTTGGAGTTCTCTGTATGTTAGTTACCATTGCTGAGGAAAGTCCTCAAAATCAAACTGAGAGGGGTTTTGATCTGATGTTCTCTTTTAGTTTAAGCATGATGGGTAAAATAAATTTTAAACTGGCAGAGCAATCCTTTCAGCAATTAAATTTTCAAGATGGATTCAGTTACTGCCTGAAAAGGAGAACATGGCAGATTCTAGCACAGAATTTTGATTTTCTGTTCTTTCTTTTTGGACAGGCTTGCCTAGAAGCATACAAACAAAGCTCACCAGATGACAGTGAATCCAAGATACAATTTCAAAGGGCATTTGCAGATATCCTTGGCGATGTGCAGTCCGTTATTGACTCTCCTCATACAAGGAAAGAGAAGAGAGAGAAAATTGTGGCCTTGTGTGAAAATGCGCAGGATATCATGAAAGACATCTTAGAAAGACAAAAGAACAACAAGGTATCCTTGTACTTATATCCACAGTTTTAATCTTTTAAAATCCCAGTATCTGTTTTGAAATTCTCTTTTTTGCCTTGTAAGTTAGAATGAAGAAAATTCTTATAATGTTAGTTCAAAGAATTTATTATTGGACCGATTAATTATCCCCAATTGATATTTTCCTTTAAATTCATCACTTATTTGGTTGATATTGTATTGATATTATTAAGAGAAATTATCTCTTGGTCACTCGTGGGAGTTAAAGGGTTATTAATGTAATCACTCACTCACTCACTCATGTCCATTATGTGGTGTGGCACATAGAGTGATTTTTTGCCGTTTCCGTAACATGGGTGCTTTACTGGACAGGGTTGTTAGCCCTGTGCCCAACCACCTAACCTGGAGGACCGGTGGATCACACTTTGTCAGACCTCTACCCTTCAACCTGTTCAGCTTGGGTGGCCCTACTAGGAGACAAAGCTCCCGCCGGCATAGCTCTAGAGGTCTCCCAGGCACTCAAGCCCACCGACCACGACAAGGTGGTGATCTTTGGGGGTGTTAATGTAATGACCATGTGAAAAGACTTGCATTTGAATCATGTCTGGAAGTACTTGTGCAGCTTGAACTATGGTTTGTCTTAATTTAGCATGAAATATTAAAGAGTTCAATTTGTATTTCTACAGAATGAAGATGCAACTGGTATCGACACATTAGATATGGCATTGCAAAGGATTTGCAAAACTTCAAAAGATCTTAGACATGAGGTATGATTTCTGCAAAGATTGTAAATGAATATCTTGTCAAAATGATTTTCAATGAATTGAATTGTTTTCTCCTTCCTAACCCTGAGAGAAACCAACATCTAATTTCTCCTTACAGTAACATGGCTGAATCATTCATTAACTTCATGAGAATAAAATAAATGATCACTAACTACGGAAGCTTTGATTGTTCAACAAATTCTCCCTGCCAGGACTGAAGGAAATGTATAGAGAAGAGTATAGAGAATATGGATACTGATGTTAGGGTGTAAAGGGTTAATACTGTTACATACTGTACTCCTTAAATGAAGAAAAAAAACATATCAAACTAATTTGAAATCATTTCTCCATCACTGTTTCAAATGCTCAAACTCAAATTGAGCTTCTTTCCTCCATGTTTTCAGGAATTAAGAATTGATTTTTAAATGGTTTATCAACCAAGATTTGAGCATTACTGTTTATACACGTACTGCAATGTTCATATGCTTACAAGGGAAAAGCTTGTAACTATTGACAACTCTGATGACTTGGATGAGGAGTTCTCTGAAAGGGATTTTTCTCAATTGGTAGGGGTTGGAGAGAGCAGTGCATTTTAACTGTAGACATCCCTTTTTTCCCAACAGGTCCATCAAGTTGCTACAGATCAAGTGTTTGAAACATTTTCACATTTGGGTCATAAAAAGTCTTTACCTGCCTTGAGGAATGCAGCTGCATCTGGCAGTTCAGCTCAGCTGGAGAGTCTAGCTAATGTTTTCACACAAGATGCAAAACGACTGCAAGAGGTGAGAAAGAAAGGCTGTTCTCCTTAAACTCATTCATAAAATGTAGAGTATTAAATTGGCAGTGGAGATTAGAGAAATTTCCACTGCAAATGCAGACTTGTCTGTCTAAGTTTCTATTGAGGGCCAAACTGCTAAGACTCTTAAATCTGTGGACAGGACTTGGAGTGCATTCTTCAACACATGCACTCAAAAAATTTGGAAGGTATCTGATGAGTCTTTTCGCCCAAAAACTATTTTTTCTCAAGTAATAAACTCTTCTGTCTACTGTAGGTTCAATTGCCTGACAAAATTTTTCTGGTACTTAATACCATTTTCCTTTTTCACATTTCTTATTAAAACCTTAAACACATGCCCTGACCCCCCACATGGTCAGGCAATTTGAGGTCTTTGTGGGGTCCCCTTTCCCTCTTTGGCTGAGAAAGTGACAAGTCAGCTTCCTTTTGTTCCCAGGTGCATGTTGGGATTGCAATGCACTAAAAGCTTACTGTTGATTTTTTAAAATCTGTTTTAGGTATCCAGGGTTACAAGAAATATGGCGTCCAATAAACCCATGGCTATCACAGCGAAGAAAGTAGAAGAAAATATTGATACGCTTTGTCCCCAGGTATGAATTTTGTCTAGCATTGACTCAATGATTGGAAGATATGTTAGTGTAATAGTCACTGCATTGGACACCAGATTTAAGGGTGCATGCCCTTGCGACAGCTTCTCTTGCTACTCAGGAGTTTGAATGGGCACAATTTAATTGTTAAAGAAGCTTGAGAAAGTACTGGAAG